TGGCATTGGTGCCTTAGAGATGGCAGGATTCTTTTCCCTTAGACAAGCTTTAAAAAATACAAAGAATAAAATAATCCTTACACTCAACAAAATTACGTTCTAAGAGGGTGAGAACAAGGAAATATTTAAATACACACAGAAAATATGGAGCACACACTTTGGCCTACTTCTCTAATCCCCACTGGATTAGTACATTGAGTTCCCAGAGGGCAGCTGAATACCTCCCCTCACAGTTCTAAGGGGAACCCTGAGTGGGTTTCCTTTACTGTTGCTGAGGATCACCCACCTCCTATACTCCCTCTACCCCCCCCTTTTTTTTAAACAGGGATTAGGGATCAATGTGACTAAGGCTGTTTGATGTTGGGACAAAAATAGGTTGTTGAGCAGTTAAGAAAAGGATGTTTACTCAGCCCTAACATAGCACAGATATGCTACAGGAATACAGTAGCAGTTTCAGTAGATGCAGCTTCTCTCCCATCCATTTGGAAATGAGTCTAGTTATCAGAGCAGGATGTGATGACTGAAGGGGTCTGAGGACATCACCCAGCATGAAAGGTGCTGACCCCACACAGGTAGGCCATGTTCTGCACTTGTGTGTCCAGGAAACCAGAGCTTATCAAGGACCTCCATAAAGAGAGGAAGAACTTGCCTTTTCCATTATTCCTGGCCTAATTAAATCCTAGTTTGGTTGTCTTTTAGGGAAAATCTAGCCTAACCCATGCTGCAGGGTAGAAAGAGGGATGAACCCTGATAGATGTTGTTTTATCATGCCAGCCAACTAGAATTAATTGGCTTTAAGAAGCTGGTATTTACTAAGATTTTATATTAAGAAAGATTGGTACAAAACATTCTTCCTAGAGTCCCCATTGGACTCTCCTTCTCTGCTATACCTCGGTCCAAAAACTGTGTCTAATTCTTTCAACCAATCCTCATGCATTTCAACATCTGAGTTAATCCAATGAATGGAAGCACTTAGCTTCTTGACCTTCACCATCTAAATCACACTTTTCCATCTTCACAAGAAAAACACGGGATACTTTGTCAGTAGCTTTCCTTAAAATCTGGGTGAGCTTATCTTCACAGCATTCTCCTCATCTACTAGTTTAGCAATCCTCTCTAAAAGGGAAAGAAGGTTAGTGTGACAGGACCTGATAATGAAGCCATTCTGGCTCTTTCCAAATGGTCTCCAACCATGTCTTTCTGCAATTTCCCCAGGAAGGAAAGTCAAGCTCATTAGCCTATAGTTTGAAGACTCTTTTCCTCTCCCTTTCGGTCCTAGCAGCAATAGGGAGCCACTGAAGTTTATTGAGTAAGAGAATTACATGGTCATATATGCATTTAAGGCACTTTGGCAGCAGGGAGAACTGTGCCTTCTGGCAGCCTGGGAATACCCTACTGGAATTTTCCTCTCTATTGCATAAAGATTCTCAAAAACAGTCCAGGGAACTCTGGGCTCAAAAACAGAGTCAAATCTCACCCCACCTCAGTGATTTACTCTTTGTTTGTCAAAGGGAAACTTCTGAAAAACCTGTGCCATTTATCCCACACTATTGGGTCAAGAGAGCAGTTTGGGGAAGCAGAGCACACAATAGTGGCATGAGGCATGATGCTGCCTGCTGGTAACTGTGTAGAACAGAATAAACCCCCAAGACCACACAGAATTTCAGCAGACGGTTTCTTTACTATCCCAGAGGTGCACCAGAAGTTCTACTGGTTAATCTTTCAAATAAATTTCATTTGATTAATTTTCTGAGTTTCAGGCTGGCAAAGGGAGCTGGTGCCAGTGCATTGAAGGACATCCAGGAACGATGTCCACAGATTTTTTTCAAGAAGGAAGTCAAATTATTTCCTAAAAGTCAGAATAGGGAAAAATTCCCCAAAAGGAACAGCAACTCTTTATGATGGGACAGCCTCTGATAAAAGAATTACCCCTAAATGGAATGAAAGAACCATGACTTTAAATAACATAACTATGTATCAGAAACCTAGGCTATCTACCTTTAACAGAGAAGTAATCAAGCTAGTTCCTTATTTCTGAGTTCCTAGTTTTCTGAGTTAAGAAATGTCCTATAGTATGATAAAAGTCCTTCCTTAGGGTTTCAACACATTTGGAAGTGTCTTTGTTCTGGGAAAATGACAACCTAGCAGACTTAATTACTTCCTAGTTCATGTTGTTTTAGGAGAATTTTACCACTGTGATGCTGGTGGTTGGTATCCCAGGTGATGTTTGAGATGCTGAACCAAAAGTAGCAGCTGGATATCCTACCTGTCTTAAGTCTACAGGAAGACAGGGTGTCACTCTACTACTCTACTGCTTGCAAGGGAGTGTAGTATATCATTTCTCTACCAAGTGACATCATACTGAAGTCTCAAGCTCAAGATCTCTCTGACACATGGTTAGATGATTCTCTTCATGCATTACGTAAGCCAACCACCCCCATGAGGGACAAGGTTTTAAAATGTTCTTCATGCAAAGAAGAAGCCCTCAATGGCGGTTTTCTGAATTCCAGGATGATTAAAAAGTAATGTTCAGGATTATAAAAATGGGACAATCTATAGTTCAGGAGCCTTCTTTCCCACTTCTGGGAATCTTCTGAGTCAGATGAACCTTCTAAAGTCATGCTACACAGGTGCTCAACTTTCTAGAGCCATTCAGTTTATTAAACAGTGAAACTGCAACAGAATTCATTAAGAACTTTCCTCATGAATCATTTCATCCACTCATATCCCAACCACGTCCTTCAAGGGCCTCCCAGTGATCCCACTCTGCGTGTCAAGGGAAATTTCCTGGAGTCCGTTCCCTTATCCCCACATCCCTGGGGCAATCAAGGGAAGAGATTTAGTGCCTGTGATTATCTCTGAGGTGACCTTCCTTTTAAAGTGTATGTAAAAAAGCCCCCAAATTATCAAAAGCCCCAAAGTGTAAGTACAATTTGAAACAATTAAAACTATTAAAGTGTAAAAGTGTACTAAGACTTTTGGACGGCATGGTGGATAGAGTACTGAGCCTGGATTCAGGACGACTGATCTTGCTGAGTTCAAATCCAGCCTCATACACTTGGTAGCTGTGTGACCCTGGGCAAGTCACTTAATCCTGTTTGCCTCAGTTCCTCAGCTGTCAAATGAGCTGGAGAAGGAGACGGCCAACCACTCCAGGATCTTCTTCAAGAAAACCCCAAATGGGGTCACGAAGAGTCAGAAATGATTGAACAAATACCACACCACTAGCTTTCACATGCATAGTTATCACTTGTATGTCGTCTCCAGCCTCCCTGAGGGTGGCCATCATGTCATCCTGTTGTTTCCTTTCGTTGTATCCCCAAGACTTAGCACAGTTCTTGGAACACAGAAGCCCTTCCTACATTTTTTAAGTCAATAATGGGGACCACTTGGTGGCACAGTGGATAAAGCACTGGCCCTGGAGTCAAGAGAACCTGAGTTCAAATTAGACACTTACTAGCTGTGTGACCTTGAATAAGTCACTTAACCCTGACTGCCTCCCAGAAAAGTCAATAATGGTTTCAAATTAAATTTTATTTTTCTTTCAATCAGCAAAAATCCATCTTCTCTTCATCCCACCCCCTGCCTCCTCCAAATGATGAAAAAATAGTAAATCTTAAAACTCCTGTTATAAATAGAAAAAATAAAGCAAAATAAATCTCTGTAGTGGTCATGTAAAAATGTCTCCTTGAGACACCTTGAGTCCCTCCCCACATCAAGAACTGGGCAGAATGCCCCACCATTAGTTCTTTGGAATCATGAGTGGACATTATGATGATCAGAGTTCTCCTTTTTGGACTTTTTAAATTTAATTTTTGACATTTAAAATTTTTTTCAATTCCAAATTCTTTCCCTCCTATGACCCCTTCTTCATGAGTTGAGAAGGTAAACAGTTATTATAAATGCAAAGTCATTCAAAACATATTTCCATATTAGCTGTCCTGGGAGAAAAACAAACAAACAAAAAAATAAGATAAAGTGAAAAAGTGATGCATCAATCTGTACTTCTCCAGGTCATTTGACAGATGAGGAATTGAGCCAAACAGGGTTAAGCGACTTGCCCAGGGTCACACAGCAAGTTAACTGTCTGAGGACAGATTTAAATCATGAAGATGAGACTCCTTGACTACAGACCCAATATATCCACTGTACCACCTAGCTTCCCCGTAGTTGTGTGATACAAGTTGTCAAAGGTACACCCAGAGAAAACCACAACTCCCTACTCTTCATTCTGATAGAGGCTTCTTTCCCCATTAATTCTCTCCTACCTGGTTGGACAGCAGCCTAGTGGGGGTGCTCCGGATTATTTTCAAAAACTGAGAAAATTCCTTGCAATTGGCTCAGTGCCTATTCTGGAATAAGACTTCCACTATGTACTAGGTTCCTTTTGGTCAAACAACAATCTGATACAATTAGACACTTCACTGCTAGTGACCAAGCAATTTATTAACCAAGAAGAAAGAAAAGAGGATAAACAATTAGATCAAATGCAAAATGCTGCAATTGAACCAGAAGTCGGTCACCTCCGGGCTCTGCAGAACCAGGGGAGAAAGTTGCTGCTAGGTGGACTTGCTCTCCCTGTCGCCCCCTTCTGGTTCTGCCTGTCTCACCACAGGCAACTCCTTTGTCACACTCTTCTTTCTCCTTGTTTACCTGCTTCTATCTTGCCTCTGTGCCCCCTCATGTGGTGCCCCAAAGTTTGGGAGCGAGGCCCTTCCTCAAGGTCACTTAACCCCCTGAACAAACTGAGCTCCCCTCGGACTGTCTGCTAACCATTCAGTTCTCTTCAAAATGCCGGTTAGAAGACTTGTTGTCCTCAGATTGTCAGTGAACTCTCTCTATAATCCTACTAAAGACCAGGCGTCAATACCTAAACTCTCTGTGATCCAGAACCTCAGGAAATTGAGCCAGCACTTACAGGAAAATAAGAGTCACCATAGACTCTCATGTGATTAACTAAGAATTCTCTCTGTGCTGCTATCAGTCATTTCTCACGGATGTAGATTTTGGGTGATAAAGATCATCCTGATCTTCACTGGGGATGAAAACCAACAGGAAAAGGAATTGGAAGAATCCAGATTCTAGTCAGGTGTGGGTTCCGTAGGACACCAATGGGTCACCTACTGGGACCTGATGATTCTTTGTGGAGTTTTCTTAAGCAAATGAAAGCACATCCTTAAGATAGCAGAGGGTTGGCATTTTGAAAGGGCATGACATTTTTCAATAGGGAAAAAGATCTTTTTAATTGATTATAAATATTATGGCATTTTCAGGTCCACCAGTTTTTTCCAGTCACCTCCTATTCATATGGTGTTTGACCAGAGATAACAAGCTATCATTTACAATACTCTTTTTGTTTCTAATATTTGTTGTTCTTCGTTGTCATGGTCACACATTTTCCACAAAGTTCCTATCTTGGTGAACTTCAGGCAGACTCAGAAAAGAGAAGCATTCTGTGGAGATATGAAAACATAATAATTGTCCTGTGTTGAATGGCTGGTTACAAGTCATACATTGTTTCTTTTTGACCTGAGAATTTTCTTGCCCAAGTAACTCTCAGTGAAGATGTCATTTTTATAATTCAGGAGTCTTTTATACATGACATTTGTAATTCATGTAATTCATGAGCTTTTAATGCAAAGTGGCATCCTACTGAACTTCACAAGGAAACTGCTTCGTATTTCCTTTATCAGGGATTATTGATTATTAGTTGACTCCTCATGTGCATTCTCATTTCCTCCAACAGGAAACACTAATTCACCTTTTAAAAATAAATTTATTCAGATAATGAATCAAGACTCCATTTCATTTGTTGTTTTGGGAAAAAATAATCAAAATAAAATTTGAAAAGGTTGATTTGTCTGTAGCCAGGATATGAAGTGCTAAATACATGAAAAATATTTTTAAAAAAATTTATTTCAATTACCCAAGATTTTCTCTCATAAATTATTTGATTATGTGCTGGGGATTATGTGCATGAATGGGGCCTGCAATTATACCCCTAAACTCCTTCCTTTTCCAGGTTTTTTTCCCCCTACTTATCTCATTTGAGCAATCAGAAAAGGCTTCATCATCAAAATTATGTCTAAGCTGAACCTCCAAGAAAGATAAAGATCCTTTGAAATGGAAGGAAATGGGGATCTATCTATCATTGCATTAAAGGCAAACAGGACAAGGTGTGCAAATATATGGAGGCAGGAGATGGAATGTTGAGCTTGGGAAATAGTATTAAGTCCAGTTTGGTTGTGACATGGTGTGTTTGAAAGGGAGTAACTCAAGAGAAAAAGGGCAAGAAAAATGACATTGGAGTAAGATCGTGAAAGAAAATGGAATTTGTACTTTAGCCAAGGAGCAAGAAGGAATGAGCAAATTTTTTTTCAGCAAGAGGGCACATTGCTGATTTCAGGGAAAAAAAAACTTACAAAAGTCATTTCTGGAAGTTAAGCTGTGGACTGACTAGAGGAAAGAGAAATAAAAACCAAGAAAGAGTTTAGGAAGCTATTGTAATCATTTCAGTGAAGATGATGCAAGCTTGAGTGATGGCTATGAGAATGGAAAAGAGAGATGGATACCAGAGATGCTGTGAAAAATGTGCTATTGAACCAACAAGGTTTCATGATTGGTTAGATATTGAGGTAAAGGAAAGGGCAGAGGAAAGGATTTCCCTGAGGGTATGAATATAGGTCACTTGGAGGATCATGGTATCACCAGCTAAAATAAGTAAGTTTGGGCAAGGGACGGGCTTACGATTTAAAGTGATGAGTACATTTTGGACACGTTGGATTCTATCTGTAGCACATCCATTGAGGATTCCAAGAAGGCATTGGTAACATATAGCTAGACTTTTGGAGAGAGATAAAGATTGAGTGTAGAGATCTGGAAATCATCTGCTAAGAGGGGATCATTGAAACCACGGGAGTTGAAGAGGACTCTAGTTGAGGAAACGTAGAGAGAATTGAAAAGGTTTCAAGACTCAGACTTGGAGGATCATATGTGAAGATAATGATGCAGCAAAAGAGTCAGGCTAAAATACGAATTCCACTGTCTTTCACAATCTTACTCCAGGGTAATTTTTCTTACCTTTTCTCCTCTCATATTATTCCTTTCAAGTACACCATGTTCTCGCCAAGCTGGACTTAATAGCATTTCCCAAACTCAAAATTCCATCTCCCACCACCATGTATTTGCACACTCTGTCCTGCCTGCCTTCAATGCAGCAACAGATAGATCCTTTTTGCCTCCACATTAAAGGACCTTTACCTTTCCTGAAGGCTCAGGTCTGACATTATATTGCTGATGAATTTTTTCTTCTGATCCTCCAGTTATTAGTATTCTCTCCCTCTTCAGATTTCATTAGGTTTATCTACTTTTGTATATTGTACACTCCTCCCTCTTCTAACCAGTGACTATAATTGAGAGCAGAGATAATTTTGTTTTATGTTGCTGGTCTATAGTAACTCATAATTCTTTCAAAAATTTTTTCTTGCTTTCTAGTGCACTATGGACATGAGGGATTTCTTCTGTGGAAATTCTCTATACTGATGTGGATCCCAGACTTGACTGAATGGTATAGTAACTGGGAGTTTTCTAGTGTGCTAAGAGGTTAAGTGACTCCCCACCATGTACTCAGCCAGGCTGGGCTAGAAGCAGGCTCTGAACCCTGATCTCAGGCTGTACTTCCTTTCAGCTTTGCATATTGCTTGTTGTTGTTGGTGGTGGTCTTTCACTCTTGAAGAGGACCAATGACATTATGAGGGTGATGTCTTGACTTGTGTGTGAATTGGATTTAAGTGAGGCAGAGCTGCCCAAAGTCATCAGCCTCATTCTGGCCAGTATATTGCAGATATTTAATAAGTGCTATGATTAATGTATCACAGTATGTCAGACTGGAGGAGATCCAAGGGGGCACCTAGACTAAGTCAAACCTGAAGAAGTATACTTTCTACAATACATCTGTAGGCAGTATGCCATAGTAGATAGAGTGCTACAATTGAAGTTCGCAACATCTGGGTTCAAATCCTACCTCAGACACTTATAAACTGTATTTAAAAAACTTACATCCCAATTATGAGTCATCACATCCTTTACGCATCTACCTGCCAGACTGACACAAGGATTAAGCATTTGATATTTTAGTTTTCACCTTGGAGGATTCAACTCTACAGTCTGTTGTGAAATTTGCTTTGTTAAATGACTTCTTGGCATATGTAGGTACTGAAAATGGGCACAAAATCAATATTCATCCATAGTGATGACAATTCAAGGTCACTATTGACATTATTTACAACCATAAAATTAGCATATCATTAATAGCAAAGTTTAAATAGCTCTGAGATACCCTGAAATCCATCATCTCTTGAAAGAGGATTTGTTTTTCCAGTCTTCTGTCTTAGGTAACATTTTCTATATATTAAGTAATTTTTTATTCTAACCTATCATGGTATGGGCATCTTATCTATGAAAAATGCATGTGAGGGATAAAATGAAATATGTGTAAGATAATAATGGTTTATAAAGAAATGATACTATTTTAATATTGAATATATAAATATTGGTTTTGGGGAAAGGGAGATATGATAGAATGATAGATCTAGAACTGCAAAAAAAACCAACAACAAAACCTCAGAAGCCATCTAGACTAAGCAAATCATTTTCCAGATGAGGAAACGGAGGCTCAGGCAGCTTGAGTAACTTGCCTGATGTCTCATGCTTGGTAAGATATTAGAGAACTTGAGATGGCCCATTTTTTCCAGGGGGAAACATGGATTCTACACATTTTAAGGTACTAAGAGGCCCATTAAGGTCATGAAAATAGCTAAGTACAAATCCCCTAAAAATATAACTAGTAAAAAAAATTGGAGTAACTGGACAATCTGGCATACTGTTGTGCACTTGAGTCTTTGCTAGTCTCCTCATTCTGAAGATCAGCTCAGCTGTTGGTTTTCTCTTTTAATGTCATGTCACCATACCCCTTTATGGTCCTCTCTCTTCTTTCCCAATGCAGAAATTTTGGAAGTCTTCTCCTGAAATGGCTTGTTGTCCCATTGAAGGAAGGTCATCTGCTTAACTTACTCCCTTCCTCTGCTGCCCAGATACTCCTCTCTTCTAGCTTTCCTTTCTCTGATTTGTTCCGCCTCAGGGTTGTCCTTTGCTACTCTTCTTTTCCCAGCAAATGTATTTTTGTTTCGTTTGCTTGGACTCTTTTCTTTGACTGTCTCCTTCTACTCTCAAGTCTCCTCCTCAAGCATATTAAATATTATTACATTTAGCAAAAAGTAAATTGAATATTCTTATCAAATTGTAGAGTGTTGCTGTCCCCAACTTATATTTTTTAAAAATTCAATTAACTCAAGTTTTTTTTTTATTTTCTGGTGCCATGTGTTTGTTAGAAGTAAGTAACTACAAAGATTGAGTGACAATATGTTGTAAAGGAAAGAAATCAGCTATAATGTCATGAAATTCCATTATCCCAGTTGGTAGAACAGTGGGCTAAGAATCAGGAAGACTAATCTACATGGGTTTAAATCTGGCCTGAGACACTTGTTAGCTGTGTGACCCTGGGCAAGTCATTTAACCCTGTTTGCCTCAGTTCCTCATCTTTAAAATGAACTGGAGAAGGAAATGGAGTTAAATGCTCCAATAATGCCACAAAAAACCCAAATGGGGTCACTAAGAGTCAGACATGATTGAAACAAATCAACAGCAGAGTAGCAAGGGCCCACATTGGAGTATCTAGTGTGATTTATAATGGAACAGAATATTCTCAACAATATACTCTACAAATAGCCATCCAGACTGTGCATGGTGTCTAGTGGTGGTGGTGACAAAGGGGAATGGGGCTCACTACCTACCATGGCAGACCAGTCTTCTTTTAGATAGCTCTAATTGCTAGGATATTTTTCTTTCCATTGAACCTAAGGCTTCTACTTTGCCATTTCTAGCCATGAGGTCATGTTGTCTCTCCTGAGCTCCAGTTCCACATCACCATGTAATGAGCTATTGGACATTCGGAAGTGGCTGCTCTGTGGTCAACTCAAACTCTCCAGGACTAAAACAGAAGTCGTTATCTTCCCTCCCCACCCCAACCCCACACCTATTCTGAACTTACCTATTTCTGTTAGAGTGGGGGAGAAGGTCAGGGAGAGGGAAAGAAATGAGAATTTCTTAAGTACCTGCTGTGAATCAGTCTTTGTGCTATGCTCTTTATAAATGTTATCCCAATCGAGCCCCATTTAGCTAGTTACCCCGATGTAAGAATTCATCCTCACCCATAACTACTCCTTCTCCCCAAATTTCCATTTACTTACCAGATGTGGATGATTCTGGGTCTGCCACATCTCTCACATTCATGCCCTTTTAGAGGAGGTCAGGCCTTCATCACCTCCCACCTGAATGACTACAATAGCATCCTCATTGATTTCCCTGCCTCTAGTCCTTTCTCCAGTCCATCCTCCACACAGCTGACAACAGGATATTCCTCAGGTACAGCTCTGCCAGGTCACTGTGGTGGTCCTTAAGTTCCAGGGGCTCTAGGATAAGATATGACCCTTCTGTTTCACAGCAGGCTCAGACCTTAATTTCTAGGTTTTTTATACACTGCTTACTTTCATGTAGAAATACAGTCCAGGCAAACTGGCCTTCTCCTTGCTCTTCTTTACACATGACTCTCCCTCCATCTGTCTTCTCCATGGCTTTGCACAGGCTGGCCCCCGAGACTGGAATGTATTTCCTCCTCATCTCTTCTGCCTGAAATCTCTCACTTTTCCTCAAAGCTCGTCATCAGTCACATCTCCCACCTGAGACTTTTCCTAATCACCCAAGTTCTAGTGCCTCCTCCACAAAGAAAATGCCTTTATTTCTTTTTGATGTAGTTTGTATATAGTAACCTGTAATTTAGAGTTTGAACATAGCTTTTATGTCACTTGGAGCTTGTGTGCATATGTTATTGATAGAATGTAAGCTCCTTGAGGGCAAAGACTCTTCAGTTCATGTCTTTGTCACACTTACCAATGCCACTATGCCTTGCTCTTAGTGAGTACTTGAGGAATACTTGGTTACCTTATTGACTGACAGGGTCAGAAAAGCCCTGTTTGAGTCCAGATTCAGCCATTTCCTATCAGGAGGTCTTCCCTATATTGTAATTTCCATATCCCTAAATCCTGGGTAATAGTATTTGTCCTTATTCCCTATTGTGAATATGAAATAAGATAACACTTAATAGCCAGTATTTATATTGCATGTTAAAATTTGCAAAGCTCTCTAGAAATATCTCATTTCATCCTGATAACAGCCCTAGGAAGGAGGTACAATTTAGCATCCTAATATCACAGATGGGGAAACTGAGGGAGGCAGAGGTTAATTGATTTGCCCAGAATCACAGACTAATGAATGTCCAAGGAACACAGAATTTCCTGACTGCATGGTCACGTCTCTCTCCACTGTGCCACGTGGCTGTCTCAGTGGATGTCAGAAGTATTTTTAAGTTCCTTTGTAAATGTGAGCTGTAAATGTGAGCTATGATACTACAAGTCTGAAGTCCTCACCTATAGATAAGTGAAATATTTGTTTCTCTGAGACTCACTTCCCTCATCTGTAAAATACATTGCAGCATTTACCTTGCAAGTTTAAGATGTAAGGAACAGAGAGAGATAATTCATGTAAAGGACCTTGATAACTTCATAGCACTAGATACATGTGAGGTACAGAAAGCCAAGACAGGATGAGTGAAGAGTTGGTCTCAGAGCCAGAAATTCTGATCCTTCTCACTCACCCTGGCTGTGTGACCCTGGGAAATCACTTCATCTCTTAAGGTCCCAGGCAACTTTCTAGGACTCTGAGTTGCAGAGAAGGTACATTGGTAGAATTTCTTCCTCTGAAGGACTCTATCTCAGGGAGACCTTGAAGTTAATATCCTTTTCCTTTCCCCTGTATGTGTTAGCTGTTATTATTACCTCAGGTTTCTGAGCACAGAAATCACAGGAGACAGAAAAATGTTCCTAGGTCGTAATGGAACAGTTCAGTGAACCTGGATACTTTAGTGTTTCCTGAGTTCCATCTCTTCAATTTCAGATGATTAGGTATGATTGACATGGACTATGGTCGTAAAAACCAAGGGTCATTAAACAGAATTAAAGTGCTTCTGTCTCTTCCTTCTTCTTCTTCCTCACCTCCTTGATATCTCCTTTCCTTTCCTCCTTTTTTCTTTTTTAACTTCCTTCCTTCTTTCCTTCCTTCCTTCCTTCCATTTTCTCTCTCTCTCAGCTATTAAGGAAATTTGTTTCATGTGACTGTATATATTTGTGATGGCCTTTGTTTCCTTACCTTCCAAAGTGAGGGAAGGAGGGAGAGGGAGAGAATTTGGAACTGAAAATAAAATGAAATTGAATTTTTAAATATGTTATTTCTCAAACCTCAAGAAACATGTGTGTGTGTGTGTGTGTGTGTGTGTGTGTGTGTGTGTGCTGTGTGTAATTAGAAAGCGAGAGAGAAAGAGACAGAAATTGCTTACTTTGTGCAAGAAGGTTCTTCATTTGGTGTCCTGTAACCAAATTCTGGCTCTGACCAGCTCTAGCTATATAGATACAAGACACTTGAGACTCAGTTCTCTTATCTGTAAAATGAAAACAATAATATTTGCTCATCAGTTCTTGAAATGAAAACACTTTAAAACTTAATAGTACCACAGAAATGGGAGTTAATTTATTTACCTAAGTTCCTTCTTCATTGGAAAGACAAATATGACACAAAGCAGAAAACAGACTGAAGACATCAGAGATTTCTCTCCTCTCCATTCCACAGGAGCCTAGAACCATGAAGCTCTTCCTTATAACTTTCCTAATGGCTTTCCTGGCTATCCAGGCTGTAAGTACTCAGGGAAATGGAGAAGGGGCTGGTGTTGGGAGCCCTCTTTCCAAAAATGGTCCTTTAGCATCTGGAGACTTGGCTTTATATTTGCATTCCCATGTTTCTGGATTAGTAAATTTTAATTTATTGTTTTGTTTTGTTTTTACTATCTGTACTGGTCTCTGAAGAATCCAGAAAAATTCCTTATGTCTGTAGCCTCAGCTAACAAACTCTTCATTTTATACTCACAGCTTTTTCCTGCCCTTAAAGAGATTGGTTCTACATTTCCCCAAAATAAAGTAGAGATAATCAATGTTTATCTAGCTATTTGAGACAAAATTCTGCTCTTCCCTCAGTGTTGGGGTAACTCATTCCATAATTCAGAGAGTTAACTCAATTCACTGCTTGGGTGTGGGGTGTTTTTTTTCCAAACACATGTCATTTAACTGAGTCTGTTGATCTTTTTCTTTTCCAAAGAGAGCTGACAGCAGTTCTTCATCTGAAGAGGTAAGACATTTCTAAATATATGCAAAGCAATTTAATATTCAATAATGTGTATCCCTAGAAATATTTTTCTTTATGTGAACAGAAACATAATTGGCATCATCATAATGTAAAATTATAATTTAGTGTGTTTAACATGTAATGTATTGGATTTAATATATTGTAATTTATTAGTATTTTTCCTTCTCTTTATCTTTAATCTTTTCTCCCCAAAATATCTAATCACTCACCATTCCTGAACAAATGATGATTTAAATGAAGCAGAAATAAATGCTTGTTCCATTCAATAAGTGTGAGGCATTCATTACACTAGGGGTTTCCAAGCAGTGCATACACAATCTCTGTAAACATTTATTTTCTGGATTCATTGACTGGGATAGAATTGCTACATTACAATAACCATGTTAAAGCAAGTGAAATGTGTTTGTTGCTTTGTTTTTTTTTTCCGGTGAGGTGATTGGAATTAAGTGGCTTGCACAGACTCACACAGCTAGTGAGTGTTATATGTCCGAGGACAGATTTGCACTCAGGTCCTCCTGCCTCTAGGGCTGGTGCTCTATCCACTGCACCACCTAGCTGCCCTACAAGTGAAATGTTTACTGGAAGAAATGATATGCAAATTCAATCTCTTCTCCTTGCTTCCCTAAATTGCACACCACTTTGCCAATGATTCTATAGGATTTCACTAACTCATTCTAAGCCCAAGAGACATCAGAGGTGTTCTCTGGGCTTATTGGATGCTTTAGGGTTCTCTGCTCATTCATGGGGTCCTAAGTGACTTGTATTTACATGCCTAAGATCCTGACAAAGGAAGATCATAACAAATGTTGTGAAATGACTTGATTTGGTTTGGTTTGTGTTTTGAAAGTGAGGAGTTGAATTGTCACCTCAAATTACAGCTACCTAATCTAGTTACTCTACTATGTGCTTGCTTCTGGACCCCAAACTGATTTCTGGCCATATTTTTGTGGCTAAACAGAATTGTGCTAAGCAATGGAAGATTTTTGCCATGTTTTCTATGAAACGGTGCAGTCCTCCTTTTCATTGTCTCCTGACTATATATAAGGATTTCAAGTTAAATGTGCTTTCTCAAAGCACTCATAGCTATTAGACTGCTACAGAATGCCGGAGATAACTCATTGGAGCATGAAGAGTTCTGTCCACAAAATAGAATAATTTTATCCTGAAAACAACTTTTCATTAATTCTTCATGGTGGATTTTTGTGCCAATGTTCTTCAAACATGAGAATAAATTTACTAGATGCGTTAAAACTGATCTTAAAGAAGAATTTCAGTTTACATCAGTGAGCATTTCCACCCCCAGTTGCTGCCATCATTCTTTTCCAGTCACTCAGGTTTCAATCTGCTGCTTATTACCTCTGCATCACTGAACAGGTTGCTTCACTTTTCCTGTTCTGAGTTTCAGTGATGATGGACCAGATTTCTAAGGTTGCATCTCACTCAGTCTAGGAATCTCCTGCTGAAGATTCATCTATAAACTTTGTTTCTAAATTCTTTCCTGTAGAGGCCACCATGACTCTCACAGTATCAGAGATCTAGAGGTGGGAGGACCCTAACAGGCCATCTCATTTAACCCCTTCTTTTCACAGCTGAGGAAACTGAGGCCCCTCAAGATTAAATAACTCAACCAAGTTCACACAGGCAATGGGTATTAAAGGCAAGATTTGAAGCCAGGTTCTTTAATCCTAGTGATGTTTAATTCTTTCCACTATATCATGCATAAGAACAGAGAAGCCAGGAGTTACAGTAGTGACCATGGTCTTTGATTATCTTCTCCCTGTGGAATCAGGGCAAGTCTCTGCTTTTTCTTTTTCGTCTTTCTCCCAGTGGAGTCAGGGATAGTATATGGTTTGCCTTTTCTTTTTTCATCTGTGAGAAAATATGGAGAAGAGAACTGTCTAAGCTTTTTTTTTAAATTGAGAATTATGAAAGGAATAATTAGTATTTGGAAATGAGGCTTCTCCAGCTTGTTAAATAAATCATATATGATGAACTAGTAGGTGCTCTCCATTTAGTTGATTGAGAGATATTATGGAATTATATTAATGAGTGAACATATATGCATAAGTCAGGTCTACTCTAGAGCTCAGATAGGTGAGTCAGATGATCCAAATAATCCTGTCATGGATGAGCAGTTGTACTAATCCAATCCCATTTGTATTATAGCTAATTTTTCAGTGTTATCATGGATACTAAGAAATTAACAATACTATAAATGAACCAGAATTTCCCAACCTTATGTCTGCTATTTTCAGGATAGTAGGTCTCATGAACATTCTGAACATTCTGAAGATCATGAGAGTGCTGGATATGCTTCAAATCCTGGAAGTGTTGGAGGTCCTGAGAATCCTGGATATGATCCAAATCCTGGAATTCCCTCATATTAAGAAATCTTCAAAATGCACCCTGAGGAGAACCTCAATAAACACAGGTAAAGATAAGTTGTACTTACCAACAACATGGTGGGTGGATGGTGTGGTAGAAAGAATACCAGATTTTGCAATTTAAAAAAACAAACCTCCTGGTTGAACTTCAGATTTGCTTCTCAATAGCCGAATGACTTGGATTAGCCAGAATCTGAACGCCTCTGTTCCTGCAGAAGGTTTTGCTGAGTCCATCCTCCATTGACTTAGCAAAGGGATAATATTCCTAAAGCTTATCTGTGACCATGGTGCTTATTCAATTCCCTGTCCCCTCTCCATAAATTCTAGAAGTTCTCTATTATGTCCAGAATGAAATACAAAATCAAATATAAAAACTTCCATGGAAGTTTCTCCTGAGTAGACTTAACAGCTTGTAGCAACAATAACTGGAACAGATTACCCCCAAAACAATATCATGGAATAAAATCTCATTAAGGTAACATTTTCTATTTACTTCTAGGTTTGCCTGGAAGACTGATTCAATCCTTCTATGAATCTACAAGTCTACTAATTTGTGAATCTCTCAATCTGCCTACTTAGCAGCCTCTATTATTGAGCATTAGACGGTAGCTCCAAGCTTGTTATATTAACATGAATCATTCCCCCAAAGGGCTAAAGCTCTCCTTTATACTCTCTATATAATAAATTCAGCTCACAGCATATTGGATGTCTTTTGTCCTTATTTCCATGTTTCAGTTCTAATTCACCGCGCAGATGAGAATAACGTAAGGAAAAGAAGATGTAAAGCTTCTTGGTCTAAGAAGCAGCAATATATTTTAGAACTGGGCTTTCAGGATGAAATGACATATCATAATAGGAACCTATATATATTGAGACACCTATATGCAACATGGCACAGTGGTAAAAGAGCCATTTTGGAGTCGGGGGCACCTGGCTTCCAGTGCCAGCTTTGTGACCATGGGCAAGGCCATTAACCTGTCAGCACTTTAAATAACTATCCAAAATTTTAAGTGACTGAAAATGTTAATCTCCACAGGCACAGAAATAAAAACATGGGTACGTAAAATATAATATGCTTATAAGCTGGTTCCACTGATAGAATTTAAGTTCTTCGAAAACAGACAGTATTTGATTTTTGTTGGTGACTTTGTTGCCTTTCTTTGTACCTCCAAATGTTGGCATAGTGTCCAGCACATAGTAGATGCTTAGTAAATACTAGCTCACTGACTGACTCCATTCCTAGACCCTAGAAAGCCTGGCCCATTGTAGTTTGCTTAATAAATGAAGACTGGTTGATTAAGTTGAAATTTTATCATGCTGACACACTAAACATTCAGTATGCACTCTGGGGGGAAAAGAGCACATTGTATTTTTATGCAGGTCCATTATGACAAATCTGTTAATTATTTTAGATGGTAGCAGTTTGAATCAACAATCCTTTCCCAGAATTTATGGAAGGACACTAACATTTTGATTACTAAAAATTGATCCATATCATAAATCCGACTGGGAATATGCAGCGCAGTCTCAGGGAGCTCCCGTGGGAAGCTGGCAGCCCTCCCTGTCAATTGGTTTTCTGGGTAAATGAGCCATTGTGGCCAAGGAAAGATCTGGCATTTCCACACAGTGTGGGATGTTACCACAGGGCAAAAGGCCTCAATATGACCTCTGTACAAAATGTCTTAAAATTTTTTTGTTCACCTGCTTCTTCAGATCACCTACTTACTGCTCATGAAATAGCATTTGAGATAATAATAACTAGAAGGAAAAAGTTCTTAGGGCAATATTGATAATTCATGACGCTTACTGTTCCTAAATAACCCAACCACAGACCAAGTTTCTCCAGAAAACCCAAGGAATAACAAATGGTAATGGAAACAGATTATAAATTGGCACGACAAAAAGAGCTGCTATAAGTGTTCTTATGTTTGTAAGTCCTTTTCCCTTTTCTTTGATCTCTTTGGGGTATCAAGCTAGTAGTGGGTCAAAGAGAATGGACAGTTTTATAGTCCTCTGGGCATATCTCCAAATATTCTCCAAAGTGGTTGGACCAATTCACAACTCCACCACTAATGCATTAATGTGCCTATTTTTCCATGCTCCCAATAGCATTTGTAATTTTTCTTTACTCTTGTAAAATAGCCAGTCTCACAGGTAGGAGGTAGTATCTCAGAGTTGTTTTAATTTGCATTTTTCTTACCAGTAGTGATTTACAGAATTTTTTTCTTATATGACTATATATAGCTTTAATTTCTACTTCTGAAAACTGCCTGTTCATATCCTTTGACTATTTACCAGTTGGGGAATGGCTCTTATTCTTGCAAGTTTGGCTCAGTCGCCTACATACTTGACAAATGAGTCCTTTGCCAAAGAAAATTGTCATTATCCCCAGTTTTTTTAAACTAGTGATGCTCCACCAGTTGCAGAGACATAATTTAAAAATCATATGACTCATTGAAGTTTATGACTTTTTAAAAAGTGTAAACATTATATTTGAAGAATATAATAGGTGAAAATTGCACAGAAATATTAGAACCAGAGGGCAAAGTGAAGAAGCCACGTCAACTCCACTTTGAACTTCAGAAAGAAACCACAAAAGGAAAAGCACCAGAAACATCATAACCAAAACCCAGAGCTTCTCTATCTAAGAAAAATATAGAGCAATCATCCAAAAAGGAGTTCAAGTATTAAGGATCTATAGTTAGGATCACACAAAACCTGGCAGCTTCTTCTACACATGAGAAATTATGGAATGCAATAGTTCAAAATGAAGAATATATAATAGGTTTACAACCAAGAATTACTTACCCTGCAATACTGAGTACAATGCTATACTAGAAAAGTAAACTTTCAATGGCAAAAAAGGACCACACAGAATTTCTCACAAAATTACCAGTTAGGTTGGAACTTTGAAATATAAGCACACAGATCCAGAGAAACTTTGAAAGGCAAATGTATTTGAACAACTAGCTAAAACTGCATGATAATATAGTGCTAACATCCTAATAGGGAGAGAAGAAACAAATAATCCTTCAGAACCCTAATATTTTCAAGGTATCTGCATGGAAGTACATAAGAAAAAACAGAAGTGGACTGGTTCTATTCTGCACTTTTTAAGAACAAAAAGAAAATGGAGGGTAAAAGCCATACATTATTGTAGAGATAAGGAAAAAGAGGTGGAACTTATTATTTCCTTATAACTGGAGTGTGTTAGAAGAGTATACAAATTTAGAGGAATGGGTGGGGAGGCAGGCTTCACAGGAAGCTCACATTTATCTGAAACAGGTAAAAGATCATTGAACACACTCAAACAGTTTGGAATAGAGGTTATTCTGTTGTTTTTTGGTCATGTTGAACTCTTTGCGACACCACTTAGGGTTTTCTTGGCAAAGATACTAGAGCAGTTTTCCCCTTACTTCTCCAGGTCATTTTACAAAAGAAGAAATGAGACAAACAGGGTTAAGTGACTTGCCCAGGGTCACAGAGCTAGTAAGTGTATGAGGCCAGATTTTAATTCATAAGGATGAACCTTCTTGATTTTAAGCCTGGTGCTCTATACATCATGCCGCCTAGCTGCTCTTGGGAGTTAGGAGGTGGCAAATGGTTGCAAGCAAATCAAATTTCTTGATCCTGAACGGGCATTAAAAGGGCCAAAAAGAGGTGAAAGAATTAGTATTTAAGGAAGATTTCAATTTGGGAATGGCTGAACAAATTGTGCCCTACAAATTCAATAGAACTTTCTCACGTCATAAGAAACAATAAAAAGAGATTATTTTGTGGAGAATCCTCAGTAACATGCACTGATGCGAGTGAAGTGAGCAGAACCAGTACAACCACTACAAGGACAGCCCTGCAAAGAAAACCAATGACGCAAAGAAGAACTTTGATCAATGCATGTCTTGAAAGGAATTATGATGATGTATGTTACCTACCCTCTGACACAAAAGTAATGGAGTCAAGGTTCAGAAAGAGACATACATATTTGGAAGCAGGCATGGGGACTACTCTGATTAATTTTGCCTCAATATGTTTATAAGGTACAAAGGCTTTGTTTTTTTCTTCTTTTTTAATACTGGGTGTTATTGGGATTGAGGAAGGTGGCAAGAGTGATAAAAAAGCAAGGGTCATTGAAACGTTTTTAAAAAAACATTGAAGACCTTTGAACCAGCAATAGCACTTCTAGGGCTATATCCCAAAGAGATGATACAAATGGGAAAAGGACCCACATGTACAAAAATATTTATAGCAGCTCTTTTTGTGATGGCAAAGAATTAGAAATTGAGAGGATGCCCATCAATTGGGGAATGGCTGAACAAGTTGTGGTATATGAATGTAACGGAATACTATTTTGCGATAAGAAATGATGAACAGGCGGACTTCAGAAAAACCTGGAAAGACTTGTATGGGCTGATTCTGAGTGAAGTGAGCAGAACCAAGAGAGTATTGTACACAGTAACAGCCACGTTGTGTGATGACTAACTTTGATAGACTCAACCCTTCTCAGCAATACAAGGATCTGAGACATCTCCACAAGTCACCTGATGGAAAATGCTATCCACGTCCAAAGAAAGAACTATGGAGTTTGAATGCAGATCGAAGCATACTGTTTGCTATTTTTTTTCTTCTGTTTTGTTTCCACTTTCTGGTGGTTCCTCTTATTAGTTCTAATTCTTACAACATCACTAATGTGAAAATATGTTTAATAGGAATGTATATGTATAGCCTATATTAGATTGCACGCCATCTTGGGGAGGGAGGTGAAGTGGGAGGGGGAGAAAAATTTAAAACTCAAAAGCTTATGGAAGTGATTGCTGATAAATCAAAACAAATATTTTTTTTTAAAAAAAGCATTGAAGAGAACAGAATGAAATTCAGAGGAGAAGACTGACAAGCAGGACAATTTTGAATGTAACTTGTGTATTATATACATTTTTTAAAGCAAGAAATGTGTAATAGAACTCTCCATACACACCTCTGCTTTTCTATTTTGTTGTGTGTATGGAAACACTCTCTCTTTTTGGTAATTATGTTCAGAAAAAAAAAACCTAGAAATAATGTTCCTGGGGAACTTATATTGTTGGCTGGACCTCAGTCTGTTTCAGCTTTGGTGCATTCACAGCAGTGATCAAATGACAGCTTGTGAAATCACTGTGGGTTTATTTGGAGGGAATTAGGGTTCCTGATTTTTCCCTACCAGTGTATCAGTAGTTGTTCCCATCGGCTTTTCTCTTTGACAATCAAGGTTTCACTCTTTTTGCTCATTTGTGTGTTTATATGTTTCTCTCATTTCTTGGGTGTTGTGCACTTGCCTTTAATCCTTTAAATATACTCAGGAACACATGCTTCCTTCAACTGAATGGCCTCTCTTAGTGGAGCTGAAAGTCGACTTTGGATGCACCATCCCTGCTGCTATGGAATTATAGGCCTAATGTTGTACCTAACTGAGTCCTTTCTCCATTTTTGTTGGCATGGATCAATGCTAACACAATCCATTCCAAGCGGTGTTGTTTCCATTTCATGGGCTGCCAGTATATTTTTCCCCCCTTTCTGATGGTCTCATACCGCTGCAACCCAGAGTTCAAAATCTCAACCTCTCAAAAATAATTCAGCAATTGCCCAGATTTCAGCCTTGAGGAAAATCGAAATCATGCTTCCTTCTGCTACCTCCCCAGGAAGATTCACAAAACAATTGAAGAAACA